CCATGACAAGGTTCAGGCCGTCCGTACATCCTGCAAAGCGCTGTTCTGCTCCGCATTCTGCAAGCATTTGTCTTGCTCCGTGCTTCAGCTCGGTTGGGTTTGTGAGGAACCACCTGAGGCTGCTGTCTTCGTCGTATAGTAGGCACAGAAGATGGGTCTGGTAGCTACTCGGAAGGATCGTGTCTGGGCCCCCTGGGGGGGCCCTGGACTGCGCCCACGTTGGGATTCTTCCGTCCGGCCTGTATGCCCACCTCGGTTCCCAGGGGCTGGGGAGGCGGGGGTAGGTTATGGCGTCGACTGGGGGTGGGAAGTTCCCGATCCAGAGTCGCTCTCTCGGGCTGGCAACTGCGCCCCCTGCGTTCATTTTTAAAGCCCACTCTGAGTTCAGGCCCCCCATGGCTGCGCACATGGCCTTGCGGTGCGCGGCGGGCATGGAGGCCGCGCTCTCCACCGGCACCAGGATGGTTAGGTCAGGTCTTCGCTTGCTTGCCAGGTACCACGCTATCGTGACGGCGAAGAAGCAACAGGACTGGGCCCCGGCCAGCCCGTCATTACCAGCGCGCTGGCCGGCCGCAGAGAGGTCGCTGCAGGGTGGGCCTGCCACAATGAGTAGCGCGCTGCCCTGCTCCAAGGAGTCGAAGTGCTTTTCCCGCGGCGTCCTGTTGTCGAGGGGGCCCCTTCGGCGGAAGAGGCCCCATGCGTCCTCAGCCAGCTGCTCGTGTGGGGGGCCTCCATCTTGTGGGTCGGGGGTGGCACTCCATCTGCGCGCTACTGCTTCAGCTGCCCCTCTGCTGTGCTCCGCGGAAGACGAAGACCGAAATCTGCGGCTGGATCCTAGCTTGTGGACGAGGTCGCCCACAGCTAGTCTGGCTAGCCCCCACCCGTCGAAAATGGACACGAGGTGGAGAGGCGCGCGCTCCTCGGCCCCGCTGCTGCCCCGAACCGCCCCCCCTTGCGGCACCACCCCTGCCTGCTGCGTGAAGTCTATCTCGGCTGCTTCTTCGATCCGCACTCTTCCGGCGACGTCGTCAGCCGCGCGTTCGGGGCCTAGCCTGACGGCGCCCTGCTCATGTAGTGCCCTGAGAGTCTCCAAGATCAGGTTGTTGTCCAGGCCGGCCACCTGGTAAGCCGCAAGAACCTGATCAGGGGGGGCGACTGGTGAACGGCCAGCGTTGCGGTCTCCGCGCTGGGCCCACACCTGCTGCAGGACATCCACGGGCTGAGGCGCTGCCATCGGCTCCGCGGGGGCTGGAGTGTGGATTCTGGCTCTTGCCCTTCTTACCCGTTCTCCTGGTCCTTGTGCCCCTGTTGCGTTTCGCGCGGTGCCCCTTCCTGCCCCGCTCTGCCCACCTGTTGTCGGCCGGGCCTCCCACACTGACGCGAGGGAACGCGAATTGTCCTCCTCGGGTCTGTTCGCACCGGGCCTCGCTCTGGGTAGAGCTCTCGCTCCCATGGGGCAGGCTGGCCGTGTCCGTCTGTTTCGGCTCCTGGTCTGCTGCCTCCTGGCGACTGGGTGCTCTGCCTCTCTGCTCTGCTGGCTCCGCCGCTTGGGGCGTCGCGGCGGCTCATCCGCGGGCACTCCTGTGGGCCGAAGTCGCACCTCAGTGTCCTCCAGCTGTGGGGCTCTGTGGGGGGTTGTTGGGGACTGACCCGCGCCCTCTCCGGGCTCGGGCTGCTGGGAGGGGCTGTCCGGTTGGGCTCGCCCGCCTCTGAGGTTGAGCCAGCTTGAGTCAACTGCCCTGAGACGGCCGGCGTTCGCCCCTAGCGAGCCCCCCATGTTCGCGGCGAGGATGGCGTCGAGGGCTTCGTCGGTTAGAGGCTGGAAGGGGTATAATGGGCCTTCGCATCTTGAAACTCCTCTTGTTGTGGGCAGCATAATCGCGCACGCCGCGTCTGCAGTGAGAGCGGCATTTTGAGCCCAGATCCTTCTACCTGTGGGGTTCCTGGTGCCCATTGGCGGGTTCTGGGCCCAGCACGTCTCAAGGGCTATCATCTTTCCAGCTGGAGCATGGAAGTGCCCCAATCCATGGCTCTGAGTACGGTCCTCCGCATTTCTCCGTCGGCGCATCCTAGTCCCTCCCACCGCGCGGGGGGGCCAAGGGGGTATAATATTTCTGCGGCGCGGTTGAGAAGAGAGCTCCACCTGGACTCCATGCATGGTGGGAGGCGTGGTCCTGCCCTGGGGGTGCCCCCCCTCCCTGGTGGGTCGCTGGTTGGGTTTCGTGGGACGCTGTCTGGTGGAGGCCAACTCCTGGGCTCGACGCCAGGGTGGGCCTGCGCCGCCCGCCGGGCGTTCCCTGATTCTGGGTTCGGCGTTTGTGCGCAGCCGGCCCCTTCACTCCCCTGTCTGTTGCACTCCGCGTGGGATGTCGGCGGTTGGGGAGCCCCGGTACCTTGGGCTCCGGGCTGGGGGGAGGAGGTCTCCTGGGCCGGGGCGGCTTGTGGGCCGCTCGGCGCAGGTTGTCCGCGCCGGTCGTCTACTCGACCGCCCGCCGGTGACTGTGGCGGTGGTGATTGAGAGGCGCTCCCATTTCTTTCCTCGGACCCAGCTCCCCCGCCCTGGTTGGCGTCGCCATCTGCTCGCGTCGGGGGGGCGCTGCCTGCGGCCGCGCGCCGGGGGGTCGTCTCTGGGCGGTGGGTTGTCGCCGCTGCCCCGTTCAGGATTATTGAGCCGCTGACCTTGTCTCGCGACAAAGGTGGCCTGGCCTGGCGAGGGAGGCATCTGCGGCGGTGCCTGCTGGGCGACGGGAGGGGGGATTGTTGGAGGCTGCGGAGCGGGGCGGTCCCGGGTCTGCGGGTCGCCAGCGCTCTGTTCTGCCGCTGGCGGCCTGCCCAGAGTCCGGCTGCGTCTAACCTGCGCCTGTTCACTTTGCGCTAGGTTCGCCCCACTGTTGTTTGGGGGGTGGTTCGCTGGCCCCTGGATGCCCTTCGCGGTCTGGGGGCTCCTCCCGGGTCGTGGTGACGTCTGTCTTCCTGCGCTGCGCTCCGTAGCCTTCCGCCTAAGGCATTCAGCCTCTCGGCGGTGCCTGGGGCAAGCACGCGCGCGGTAGAGCCGTCGATCTCGGCGCCCCTGCTTCCAGGAACCTCCAAACACGGGTGGTGCGCCGTGCATGCGGGGTCGGGCTCGGGGGAGAGCCACCGCGTGAAGGGAAGCTGTCGAGTGGCCTCCTCCTTTATCCCTAGCTCGTCAATGAACTGGAATACGTGGTCTCTGTCCACATTGCTCGGGTCAGCCAGCTGAAGGATCCATATGGCAGCGAAAAGGTCCCAGTTGTATCTCAGAATAGGCCTGCCCTCCTCCTGTCGTCGCTGTTCCAGCACGAGCCTGGTCTGTATGCTCCTGGCCATGTCGTGGATGCACTGCTCTCCGACGCAGGCTAGGAACCTCCCGAGCATTCCCTGTGCGCATAGGACCGCATCACTTTCCGCCCTCACGAGAACGGCTCCGGGCTCAGAGCGTGCACGGCTCCTGCGTGTGAGCACCTGTGCTAAGTGGGGAAACGTTATTGGGCGGGCTGGGCCTGGCAGTGAATCCACGGCTGCCCGCCTTCTGGGGGGCAGGGATGGGCTGGCGGACTGGCTGGTGTCGACCCCTAGATCCGCCGGCATTGGGGTGCGGGCGGGGGTCGCGTCAAGCTTGGCTTGGTGCACTGGGCCGTGTGTCAGCTGCAGAATTACCCTGGCTTGCGGACGGCCCGCGCCTCGACTGGCAGCTCTCAGGTCGGCTTCGGCGGGCAGCGCGATCGTGCCCACATGGGGTTTGAGGTGTATAAATGCCCGCTTTCTCCGCTGGTGGTGATGCATGCCGCCCATCCTGCAGCTATCGCTGCCGTGAGGTGCTCCCCGGGGTGGAGGATGGTGCTGTAGTCTCGCAGACCCTCCCTGTCCTCCGTGGGTCTGCGGCGCGTCGTCGCGTTCCGCCCGTCTATGGCTATGTCTACGTCTCGCAGCCATTCCTCGGAGATCGTGGGGGGGGGCCCCTCGTGTTGGCTGGTATCGCCCTGCCCTCCGTTCCCGTGGGCAGCGGCCAGGCTCTTGTGTGCAAGCTCGCCCCTGATGAGCCTATCGTGGCTGAGAACATTCGTAGGGTAGCGTGTTGGGGATACGCGAAGCATCAAGAAGATTGTCCCCTGCCTGATGTCCACCAAAGGAGGTCGGCGACGCCACAAAAAAGAGAGGTGTGCATCAGCCCCGTGATCGCCACAGGTTGCCCTAAGAACCCCATGGGGCGCCACCAAACTGCCAGGCAAACCCAAGAGGCCTCCAGGACGGTCTCCAGGAGCCCCGAAAAGGGCCTGAAGAACTCAAGACAGCCGAAGATGGTCCTGGAAAGCCCCTACGATGGTCCAAGAAGAATCCAAGACGCCACCCGGGGAGCAACAACAACGATACTTGTACGGTTCCTGTGTTTCTTCGACTGTCCCAAATACTGTTCCCAAGATGTCCCGAGACCGCTTCAAGACAGCCTCCAGAGATCCGAAGGTTGCCCAAGATGGGCACACGGTGGCCCAAATGGCATGAAAGATGCTGCTGCCGCCAAGATCGCCCAGGATGGTCTAACAAGGCCCCAAGACATCACCGAGATGCCTCCAAGAGACACCAAATATGATGTTGTGGCTTTCAGGCACGGCACCGCCGCGATCGCGATCTTGTGGCGACGCCTGGGGGTCTAGGACGAGCAGAAGGCCGCGGACGGGGCCGTCGGGCGGGCCGCGCTGTTGCCGACCCGCTCGCGAACGACGACGACGACGACGACGACGACGACGACGACGGCCGACCCGCTCGCGAGCTCTCAGAGCTCGCCGCCGCCGCCACTGGAGGAACGAAAAACGGCATGAACATACACTTTCGGAGCTCCGCACGGATTTCTTGGATCGGCGCCAGACGCACTTCCATGGCGCGCCAAGGGCGGCGCTGGAGGCGCCGCCAGGGGGGGCACGCAGCGCAAATCCAAGGAGTCCGCACGGAGCTCCGAAAGATTACGCTTCTGCTCTGTTCGCTTCTCCGAGATGTCCCAGCGCCGGGAGCCTCTGGCGCCACCCGCCCCCAGCTCCCACAGGGCCCACTTGGCCATGGGCGCAGCCTCGCGGCGGCCGTGATAGAGCTTCGGGTGCGCCCAGCCGACCGCCGCTATCGTCGGGTAGCCGCTGACGTTGTGTCTCCTGCACACGCCCTGGTTGGCGCGCTCCGCACAGTCCACGGCGCCGACCGAGATCCCCTCGCCTTTGAGCATCGTTCAACCGATCCCTATCACCCCTGGCGTGGAATTGGCCTCACTGGCCGACTTGATTCTTGACCAACCGTCCTGTGGTGCTGGGTCATCGCTTTGAAGAGACACCGCCCCGCGTCTCCTCCCTCTCATCTCATACTCCCCCTTCCTCCCTCCTCCCGATCCCTGCCTCTGCTCTCCGCATGTCAAAAATTCCGGCAAACCCCTCACACGCTTCGTGGCCCCATAGGGAGCTCCACCAAAGCCCCCACGCCGCGGTTTTGCATGTGATTATCAACGTCTCTCACGCCTCGTGGCCCCGGACGGAGCCCCACCGAACCCCCAGGAGAAGATTTTGCACGGGGTTCTCCGCACCCCTCATACGCTTAGTGGCCCCATAGGGAGCTCCACCGAAGCCCAAAGGAGGGGGGTTCGCCTCGAGGCCCCACAGGGAGCTCCACCGAAGGTTGGCGGCGAGCGCGGGGAGGATTTGAGAAGGAGCAGGCCTTCTCAGAAGGCTCGGAAGTCATCCAGCCTTCTGCAAAGTTGTCTAAGCCTTCCCCGAAGGCCCAAAAACTTCTCGAAGGCGCGCGGACCTCCGAGAAGTCCCGCCGCCTTCTGAGAAGGCTTTCTCCTTCTCACTTCCCCCCCTCGCTCGCCGCCGAGATGGCATCAGGAGGGGGTTTTGCATGTGGCTCTCCACACACCCCACACGTTTTGTGGCCCCGTAGTGAGCTCCACCGAAGTCCCCAGGAGGAGGTTTCGCATGTGGTTCCCCTCACCGTCGTACGCTTCGTGGGCCCAGAGAAAGCTCCACCGAAGGCTCCAGGAGGGGGTTTTGCATGTGGCGCACCCCTCACACGCTTCGTGGCCACATATGGAGTTCCACGAAAGCCAACAGGAGGGGGTGTCGCATGCGGTTCTCCACCCACTTCGATACACCCCTCACACGTTTCGCGGCCCCACAAGGGACCTCCACCGAAGCCCACAGGAGGAGGGGTTCGCATGCGGTTCTCCACCCACTTCGGCACACCCCTCACACGCTTCGTAGCCCCATAGGGAGCTCCGCTGAAGGCCCCAGCAGCAGCGTCCTCATGGCGGCACCTCTTCCATGTCGGCATGCCCCTCACAAGTTTCGTGGCCTCATAATAGGGAGCTCCGCCGAAGGCCTCAGTAGCAGAGTCCGCACGGGGACACCGCACTCATTCCGGCACATCCCTGACACACTTCGTGGCCCCATAGGGAGCTCCGTCGAAGGCCTCAGTGGCAGCGTCCGCATGGCGGCACCGCACCCATTTCGACATATTTCTCACAACCCCCCTCCTTCGTCTCATCTGCCTCGCGGCATTCGCAGCTGCACGCGGTTGGCTCCTTCGCCTGTATAATGAAACCGGCAGCGCCGATGGACGCGGGCACGTGGATTGGTACCGGCGGAGCGCGCCAGGCGCGAAGTGGCCGACTTACACACACGGGTAGGGGGGATATATGCCTCTTCCCTCGGGCCTCGAGGGGCACATTCCCATGGGAGGGTAGGCTGGTGGGCTGAGATACCCTGGCACACTGGGAATGGGGATAGGTTAAACGATGCTGAGCCTTGGAGCCTCCGCGCCAGCTGGACATACTCGGGCTGCAGGGCCTCGCAGTGGCCGCACCACTCCGCATGGAACAGCACCACCCACGCCTGGCCCGCGCCGCGCCGCGGCCAGTTCTCCTCGCAAAGGCTCACCACTGGCCCAGGGTACGCCGAGCCAGGGCAACCAGAGGGAGTGGGGGGGCAAAAAGATGCCGATGCCGCGACTCCCCTCTCGCGGAGCACGGTCTGGCCAGGATTCCGAGGAGAATCCAGCAGTGGCAACGAGGAATCTCCAGGACGAGCAGCGGTATCGTTACCTTCCCCCCCTGGGCAGACTGTTTTTTATTATTTACCGTAATGGTCGTGACCTGGGGGGGGGCCGGGTTAAGGCAACGCTTGGGCAGGGTGGGGCACGTCGGGGCAGGGGGGGGGCTGCGATTGCAATGGTATGCGCGCGAGCACGAGCATGGGGGAGGGTCGACGCCCCCCCCCCGATGGGGAGAGGAGGGGGGCTTGGCCCGGGCACCGACCGTCACGCGCCAGAGGATAAAAAACAATCTCGAGGAAGCCCCGCCCGCCCCGCCGCACGAGCGCGCGAAGAGCAGCAGCGCCGCCGGGAGCGGGCGACCGCCCTCGGCCGGGCGGCGCGCGCCCCCGCCGCCTAGGGACCAGCGGCGCATGGCCGCCGCGGTGGGCGCACAGTTTGCCGCAACGGCGGGCGGCGCGCCTGGGCCCCAGAAGCGAGGGGCATCGCCAGCCAGCTCACGCAGCAAGTGTCGTTCGTACCCTCCCTCGGGCGGGGGGACCCCCCGACGTTTTCGCACGTTCCTGGAGGGGGTTCGGCCTCCGGATGCGTCTCAGCAAAAGATGGCGTTCCAGGGGGGCAAGAATCGTCCTGCACACCCGCCACAGGCCAGAACTCTGATCCGAAAACACCACCAGGGGACCCGCTCAAGGGGGAGACATCGAGCTTAAATCGGCGATACCTCGACGATAGATCGGCGATAGGCCCCCGATCGCGAATCCGCGCGTTCATGGGCGGGGCGGGCTATTGGGTCCCAATCGGCGATGAATGTGCGATCGGGGGTCGATGCAAGCCTATCCCCCTTGGCATGGGCGCTCGGCCGCTACTCTTTACATGCATAGAACGACCAAAACATGCAAATCACGTGAAAATGCAAATCTCAGGGGGGGGCGAACAAAAAAGCCCAAAAAGCACAAACAACAACCAACAACAACAACAACAACAACAACAACAACAACAACAACAACAACAACAACAACAACAATTACTAGCACGTGGGGACACTCCGTTCTCACCAGTGCCAGGGTTTTCATAGGAGGCGGGCAATACCCCCACTTTGTGGGGGGGCCGGTTCAAGCTCTACCAAATTTCCAAACGACTCTTCGCCACCACCCACACCCAGCTTCCCGCCCTATGACGTTCGGACACCTCACTTCGTGGCCTGCGGACGACCTTGGCTACTACACTGGCGCATGGGTACAATGACTTGTTGTGGTAACATTTTCTGTAAGCTAGCTTAGTATACGACTTTTCCCCCTGCAATTGAAGATTTCGGCGTGCGCGCGCGAAGAAAAAACGAATGTGTCCCATATGGTATTATTTGACAGGGATGATGGCCCTGGCAGGCGCGCAACCGTTGTTGCAGAAGTTCGAAGCACGTGAAAAAGTTGTTCGCAAGAGCCCGTTTGACAGAAATGTTGAAAAAGTATTGGGTTTCCTAAGAAATCCGCAAGAGCGCGCGGGATGAATGTTTGAAACTTTTTTTTGAAAAACCATTGGGTTTTTCATGTTTTGTATGTTAAAATCGCTACGAAAACTAAGGTTTTGGAAGGATTTCATATTGCGCGCGCGAGTGTGCACTTCGTGTCATTTTTTGCAAAGGATTCTTGAAGTTTGGTTATGTTAGAACAAGACATGTCATTTTATATTGTTTTTGACAGGGAAGCGGCGTCAACAAAACAACCGGATCCGGACTCCCCCGTTTTGCCTGAGACTTCCTCACGAAAATGATGAAAATGTGGCTGCGGCCTAGGCGCGGCGAGGGGGGCGTGCACCAGGGGGCCCAACAACAATTATTCTTTAGAAGTAATAATATTCAACAACAACAACAACAACAACAACAGCAACAACAACAACAATAACAGCAGCAACAACACCAACACCAACAACAACAACAACAACAACAACAATTACTAGCACGTGGGGACACTCCGTTCTCACCAGTGCCAGGGTTTTCATAGGAGGCGGGCAATACCCCCACTTTGTGGGGGGGCCGGTTCAAGCTCTACCAAATTTCCAAACGACTCTTCGCCACCACCCACACCCAGCTTCCCGCCCTATGACGTTCGGACACTTCACTTCGTGGCATGCGGACGACCGTGGCTACTATTCAGGGCCCCGCGGCCGACGACGACGGCGTGCGCGCGCGAAGAAAAAACGAATGTGTCCCGCATGGTATTATTTGACAGGGATGATGGCCCTGGCAGGTGCGCAACCGTTGTTGCAGAAGTTCGAAAAAGTTGCTCGCAAAAGCCCGTTTGACAGAAATGTTTAAAAAGTGTTGGGTTTCCTACGAATCCGCAAGAGCGCGCGGGATGAGATTTTGACAATTTTTTGTTGAAAAACCATTGGTTTTTTGATGTTTTTATGTTAAAATCGCTGCGAACACTAAGGTTTTGGAAGGATTTCGTCTTGCGCGCGCGAATGTCCACTTTACCTTATTTTTTGCAAGGGATTCTTGAAATTTGATTATATTAGAACAAGAAATGTCATTTTCTATTGTTTTTTTTGCAAGGGAAAGCGGATTACAACAAAACACCGGATCCTGTACACACCTCTTTTCTGAGGCTTCCTCACGAAAATGATGAAAATGTAGCTGCGGCCTAGGCGGCGCAGGGGGGGCGCGCACCAGGGGGCCCAACAATAATTATTCTTTAGAATAAATAATGTTCAACAACAACAACAGCAGCAGCAGCATCAACAACAACAACAACAACAACAACAACAACCATTTTAAGGTTGTACGTTCTTACTTGCCCGCGAGTCATTCAACACGTATACCCTACACCCTCGATACCCGCCCTCTTCGTCTTCGATCACACCCCTTTCGGGGGGATTATTTTTCTTTGCTGGGGCCGGCGGGCTTAGACGTACGGGCAAAGCGGAACGGGCGGACAATCCTTCGGGGGCGTACATCTCTCTGCCCGCCATTGGAATTGGCGCGGGCCCTGCAAGAGGAGGAGGGAAAGAACGAGGGAGAGTGGGAGGAAGGGGAGGGGGAAGGACGAAGGAAGAGGGAAGATACCACGTTGTGAAGGCGTCCTTGGCGCGCGCGTGATTCCTGAGCGCCGAAACGCAATTCCAGAATAATTTGCGAGGACGTCGCACGCGAGAGCGCAGTCCTGAGTACATTGTAAGGAAATCTCAGGCGGAAGCGGGGGCCCTGACTAAGTCCCACCAGCCCTTTGGGCGTGAGTGGTTTAGCGAGCTCTCTTTGTTCTCAACCCCCCTTTTTCCCCTTCGGGGAGGCGTTTACCCCTCCCCCTACCCCCTCCCCCTGGACCTGGAGAGGGGGTCCGGCGGGTCGTCACGGGGGTCAATTTCCACTCCTGGGAGTGCTAAAAAACGACACCCCTCACGAGGATTCTGCCCCCGACGGGGGGGCGCCCCCCCCAAAAAAAACCTCTTCTGTCAAGCCAAAATCATTGATTTTACAAAGGTCTCGGCCCCATTTTGGCCTTCTGAGGGGGCAGCGCCCCTCTTCCGTGTTCTCAAAATCATTGATCGTTTTTGGGCTCATGTTGTCCTTCTCAGGGGGCAGCGCTCACTTGCGCTTCTGAGGAGGTCGCAAGAGGCCCCAAGATGGCCCCAAGATGCCCCCAGGAGGTTCCCAAGAGGCCTCCAAGAAGCCCCCAAGAGGCCCCCAAGAGGCCCCCGGAGGCTCCCAACAGGCCCCCAAGAGGCCCCCAAGAGGCCCCAAGAGGCCCCAAGAGGCCCCCAAGAGGCTCCCAAGAGGCCCCCAAGAGGCCCCGAAGAGGCCCCAAGAGGCCCCCAAGAGGCCCCCAAGAGGCCCCACGAGGAGCCCGAACGACTCACACCAGGACGAGGGGCCCGAACGACTCACACCACGAAGAGCCCGAACGACTCACACCACAAGGAGGGGCCCGAACGACTCATACCAGGACGAGGCGCCCGACCGACTCACACCACGAGGAGTCCGAACGACTCGCACCACGACGCGGGCCTCGAACGACTCACACCACGAGGAGCCCGAACGAGTCACACCAGGAGGAGGGGCAGCGCTCATAGAAGCCCCCCAAGATGGCCCCCGGAGGTCCACCAGATGGCCGCAAGAGGTCGCCAGATGGCCCCCAAGAGGTCCCCAGGAGGCACCACGAGGCCTCCATGAGGCCCCCAAGATACCCCCAAGAGGTCCCCAAGAGGCCCCAAGAGGCGCCGAAGACGCCCCAAGAGGCCTAGGCAGAGGCGGAGGAGGCGGACTGTGAAGAAGACAACCATGTTTTCGCACAAGACTTCGAGCCTGGTCGACTCGGTCGCATAGCGGGCTGCGGTGCTCAGGCGCCCAGGCAGCGCCGCAGCGAAAAATCTCGCCGATCGGCCCCCCCCCAAACAGGGAGATTCCTGGGGAATGGCCGAGAATATTATCTCCTACTTGTGTTGGGCCATAATGGCTACGGAAAACCGTCAGGGAATCGCAACGCCTTCGATTCGATTATGGCACAGTTCTTCTGGACCCAAGCCTCTCTCACACTTCCCTGTGAATCTCCGTCCCTTCTCACGACCCCCCGAAACCAGCAGTAGTGACATCCCAGGAGCCCCCGCGACTGCCAAACCCGATAGGAACCAGAAAAAAGGCAGTCACTAGCAAGCCGAGATCGGAAGAACCACCGAAGGCAAGCTCACAGGAACCCGCCAAGGAACCACGGCCCCCGAAAAGCGTGATCCCAGGGACACGACTGAACCGAATCAAACGAGGCAGAGGCGGAGGAAGGACTGTGAAGAGGACAACCATGCTTTCGCACAGGTCTTTTAGCCTGGTCGACTCGGTCGCAGAGCAGGCTGCGGTGCTCAGGCGCTCCTCTTCCGCCATAGC